AAACATTGCTACACGAAACCATATCTTTTATCTAAAATCTACTTTTAAATTATTGTTTTACCTATTGTATAGATATAGCAGATATACTGTATACTGTAATACATATTACAGCTTCGGACTAGCTGGCGAGTATTTCATAGCTTTTCATGACGAATTTCTATCGTAAGAAAAATCTAACGATAAATCGCATTTTCACAAAATATCTTAACACAGGATTAAGTGCAAAAACCTCTCGTAACATTACGATATGTGTTCCCCATTCGTTAAGTCGTGTAACATGTTTTCTCTCATAAGTAAAATAGCACGCATCTTTTATTTAAACAGAACAAAAACAAACAAAATAAATGGAAGGATAAATATATTCGAACATTATGTTGAAAATAACACAAATTAAATTAGAATTATTTTTTAAAATCAATTCTCCAAGACCAATAGATTATTTTCAATCAAGATAGAAAATCAGTTTATATAACCCTTTTCTTGTAAATTTAATTTGAATGTCTTAAGGATAACATGATTGTTTTCAAAACATATATCAAGCTCTTCATCAACAGATTTTAAAACCGGAAACTGATACATATGTATGGTGCTTGCGCATCAATAATATTACCTAAACGTTGCTACCGTCGTTTTTTTTTATCGTAAAATTTATGTTAAGTGAATTTTCTATCTTAACTTAAATTAATTTTACTTACGAGTGGCTTTATGAAAATGACTTAAGATTTGACTTATGATTATCTCAAGTCAAAAACTTTAAATAACTCTTACGGTATTTTAATGTAACAATTACATGTATTACTGAGAAGCCTAGCCCTATCTAAATTTTCTACCTTCTTTGAATCTGTTAAGATATCTATGAATGCAAATTATTCATAACGTTTAAACAAACTATGCACAACTTTAGGATTTTTATAATTAGAGTTATATGCTAAGATTTCGAGTCATATTTGTTCAATGAGTTTGAAATAGTTCACAGTCCTCACCAAGTGCAACATATATTATTTACGCTGTTATAATGTATTATTCTCCTTTTCTAAAAGAGATTAGAAAAGTGATAATCAGTGAAAGTTTAGTAACTGTGGAAATAGCAATTGCATTCGAAACGCATACATATAATTTGTAAATAAACTTTGAAAGTATATACACCGAGTCCAATCGTTCACTATGTTTCCCAGGCGGAGAACGCATGAAGAGATCAATTTTACAGGTGGAAAACCGATACTGTGGTAAGAAAGTTGTCTTCAATTTCTTTAAAAATGCATATTTCACAAAACTTTATAGCCTAGTCTGATCTCGTATGATTACTTTATCCGACAGGCATCTCAAACTCGCCAAATCTTTGTTAACTTATTAGATTATTATCGACAACTGCACAAGAAAAATCACAAAATTGGTAAAATCGCTCTTTGATAGCCAATTACTTGACATCCAAGCAAACTTCTAAACATTTGTATCGCTCTAAAGGTTCTTTATTAACATATCCTCATCCACCGAACGCCTGTTCTATTTCTATTTCGTATTTTTGGAGTATAATATCGTTAAAAAGAATTTTCAAAATGAACGCATGAGCCGAACTTTTCATGTGGTGTCATAGGTTTGCAAAATGAACGCATGAGCAGGTGGTATTTTTAAAAACTTAAAAAACCCAAGTTTTTCTTAATTATCTAACAAATTTAACATATTCAAACTTTAAAAATTTCAAATTTTATTTCAAATAAGTGAGAGACACTTTTTTTTTTTTTTTTACAAATTAAAATTTATACTTTGTACGCTGTATGTATATATATGCTAATAAGCAAAAGTACGAGGTCTGTTGGGAAAGATCGTGTGAAATTGAAGTAATTCCTCGTTTGTAAGACATATATTATCAGCTTTAATAAACAACCTCTTATTGAATAACTTAAACAAATGAACATTGTTTTAATACATAAATGGAGAGATAACTAAGTCTTGCCATGTTGAATAAAATCAACAACTGACGACATTAAGCTGATTTATATAATAATCTTACATGACACTTTGGAAAAATCCTTGATTTTTGCACGCATTGTAAATGATTGTTTTACAAATTATGTACTTTGATAATTAAATCATGAATCCTGAATAATTGTATACAATTACTATCATACACGCATAATATTTAACAACAAATACAACAAAAGACAAATGACAAATAATAGCGTATGTATACTCTTTTAAAGTCCCTGTACCTCAAAACTTAAATAGTCTAATATGATAAACATGATACTCAAATAAATTATTACCAATATTACAAATCTTACATAGATATTATCGAATTTAAAGTTCTGTAAATAAAGGGAGGTAATTTGAAACACATTTTGATAAATACTTAGCCTTTTCTTCATTAAAATAAAAACTTATAATGAACCTAAAAAAAATTATGTGTTATTTCAATTCCTTCTCACATCCCCTCGGAGCGTGCACGTCGCTGAGAAGGCACAGGGCATCGGCAGATGATGGAAGTTCGAGTTATAATCGTTTAAGGCGGCTGCTTCGTTAAGTTAGCTGCCGGTGGCCTGACTAATGCCGAGGGGAGTGGCCCTACAAAGTAGGCTGAGACGATGAGGATGGTGTACTAGGGTGCGTGAGCCCCTAGTACAGATAGACGGCTTGTAAGGCAGGCCGCCTATAACTGGCACCAACAGCCCTTTTCAGGGCTAAACACCTTTCCTATTGTCACATGTTACTGTACATTTAGGTTCTCATTGACCGCCGTACAGTGACCTACTTTTCGGCTCAAAATTCATATCTTTGGCTAATACTCCGTGAAAATTGCATGGAGGTAAATTATCACCATTTTGTGCTTTAAAATTAACTCTTTAAGGACATGACTGGTGACATGTCCGGGGTCCGTACTCGACAGCGCAAGCTGCATTTTGTGCCCGAAAGGGCGGATGGACCTTCATTAAGCTTTAACTACATACATACATACATGTGTTATTTCAACATTTATTGTATGTTCATTTTGTTGTAAGGAAGTTGATATATATATTCTTGCTTAAAGATCCTGTATGTTTTTACCCCATGAGCATATGCGAAAAATTGCCGTTTTCATTGAAAAGCCTCCTGTAACAAGTTCAAACTGCTATGAAACTATGAAAAATGCTTCCTTCAATACTGATGAAACTCGGCACAAATGTAGACTACACCATAGCCTCTGTAACAGCATGCTCAATCGTTAAATTCCTGTTACCATGGCAACGGCGGACGTCTCAAAAATTGCCAAAAATCACTATTTTGCATTGTTTTTTTTCCCCATCAAAACTGATTTTAAAGTGCTGCAACTTCTCAATGAATTGAGATAGAGTAAAAGGCTTTTCAGTGTCTGTTACTAGTTACCCTAAGATCGACCTCAGGCCATTTTTAGCCTGTCACATGTCCAAAATTTTCTTGTCGATGAGGGGTACTCCGCCCCCCCCTTCAAACCCACTCAGGCAACCCCCTGATGTAACATTTGGATGGGGGCGGCGCCGAAAAAGTGGTCACTTTTTTAACAACATTTCTCAAACGAAAACCAGTGTTTGGGGCCTAAATAGGACATTCTTTCACTGTTTGAGGCCTCAAAAAGTGTGTGGGGGGCAAAAAGCCGTCGAAACACGCTTATATAAGGGAAAAGGTTTAGGATGTAACATCCTTGCGAAAGTTGTATATAAAGTCAGTTCTTATGAAAAACATATACTTAAGAAGTTGACATTATTAAACACATTATATGATATTTCTTGAGGAAAAATGTTTTGAAATTTTTATTTGAATGCAAAACTGATTTTTTTTTACCAAAAAACATATTTCTAATTATCTCCTTTTTTATCGGAAATTTTTAATTTTAGCAATATCCTTATCAAAAAGGTTTTCTGTAACTTTTAACATTGTTAATTCTTTATTTAAGCCAAAGATTTTTCATATAAGAACATAAAATTTTGAGTCAAGGGATCTATAAGTGTATGTTACATTTTTAATCATAACATACCATCAACCAATGATGTTGTATTTTGCAAATATTTTACTCAAAGCTTTAGCAATGAGGATTTATTATATTTTCACAGAACCGAACAGACCTTCATCCTATAAGCAATTCGTCATAAGGTATGAAAATAGGAATTCTGTTTGCTCAAACATTCGGAACGAAAATTTTGGAATTTCAAGATTCAGTGATCGATAACATGTGAGATATCCATGAAAACTGGAGTAACCAAAAAATCCGCCTGCTCATGCGTTCATTTTGCAATCTGATAAAACCACATGAAAAGTTCGGCTCATGCGTTCATTTTGAAAATTCGCTTAACAAATATTATACTCCAAAAATACGAAATAGAAATAGAACAGACGTTTGGTGGATGAGGATATGTTAATAAAGAACCTTTAGAGCGATACAAATGTTTAGAAGTTTGCTTGGATGTCAAGTTATTGGCTATCAAAGAGCGATTTTACCAATTTTGTGATTTTTCTTGTGCAGTTGTCGATAATGATCTAATAAGTTAACAAAGATTTGGCGAGTTTGAGATGCCTGTCGGATAAAGTAATCATACGAGATCAGAATAGGCTATGAAGTTTTGTGAAATATGCATTTACAAAGAAATTGAAGACAATTTTCTTACCACAGTATCGGTTTTCCACCTGTAAAATTGATCTCTTCATGCGTTCTCCGCCTGGGAAACATAGTGAACGATTGGACTCGGTGATATAGGATGTAAGTGAACTCATTAATAGAGACGATTTAAAAATAAATTTAACTTCAATGCAATAATTATACATCAAAGACAAACGACTCTCGCCATTGAACTATTAAATAAAAAAAAGTTTTATGACTTTTTTGTTTATATTGAAAAAATTGTAAAGGGAAAAAGAATCATTATCAAAGAAATCGCATAATAAAAAAATTATTTGAAAAACATTACATTTTTGATATTTGATTAGAATGTGTATGCTTAAACATACCATTTGAATGATTAAGTGCTTGTACTTTTAAATCTTATGCATATACATATTTTACTCTTACGAAATACATGCATAAGTATTTGGATCAACCGACAAGGAAGTTACGGTAAAAGAGACATTTCGTCTCATTTGGACTTGGGCAGCCACGATGTTTACCATAGGAATTTTCATAGCGTTCTTTGTATTTCAAAAAGATTTTATTGTTGAGTAAGTGTTTTGTCTTCATATTTAAGTCCATAATTCTAACAATTGTAACTTTTCATTTTTTGTAGTATGTTATTTATTCGTCGGAAATTTAATTTTCTCCATATATTGAACGACAAATGTTTTGAAAGTTAACTCATCTATGGCGCCATAATTCTTTTTTTTTTAAATAAACATAAATACATGTGTATTTGTTCTAATTATTAGGTTTTGGTATATTTAATAAGATATTCCTGGAATTAAAGTATCTTTACTGCCTATGCGACTATGTTCTGCTAGGCTCCTTGTCGCTGGTCCTGTACTTGAGGATGCGTTCATTGAATGCCGCCCTTCCTTGTTGATCTTGTTTTTCATAACTTTAGCAAGCTTTATAATTACATATACATATAGTTTTAATTCAAGTATTTGAGTTCTGCTTTCATACATAGTATTTAATACATACACGATTTCTACCAAAATTTATGTTAAATTCCTGCAGATTATATAATTTTACAGGGGGAAATGGGTTACTTTAAGATTAAGAAGCTTATATGAGACAAGATTGATACAAACAATTTTTTTCATATGCCACAAGTACTGGTGAATCCAGGTCCAGGAAATGAAAGTTATCAATATAAGTTGAAATAAAAAACCGTTCATTCATACATACAAACATATGTTATCTTTTTTTCAAGTTTATTTCTTTCTGTATAAAACTGTGTTTAAAACTTACGTTGATATATTTTTCAGATCGAGCGTCTGTAGGTACACAAAGACATGTTATTCAAGAGGTTATAAACGCTGTGGATTTTTGTGAGTATTTCGGTTTTTATAACCTGGTGGAGACCTTGATTTGTATATAAAACATCTACCATAAGTGAGAATAATGATACTTTGTCATATTTAAATAGAACTGCATGGCTGACTAATAAGCTAGTTCACAAAATATTTATGATTATTTTACATGAACATGACTTAATCAGTATAAATTTGTATCATGTCTGTTGATAAACTGTTGATAAACTGGATACCTGATACGGTCACCCAGCTTTATCAGACATCTTATTAGTAAACATTAAAATAAAATGAAGAGAACAAACGTTTAACCTCCTTCTAGTTTGTAAAAATTAAACATTGAATGGAATATAATTTTCAAATATTAAAGGTTCTCTTACAATTGATAAAAATCTTTCTATCGGTATGACCATCGCCTATGAATTTGTAAACAATCGTGCGCCACTTGAACTCGTGACTTGACAGGTCTTGAAAAAATAACAATTGTATTATAAAAATTTAAACCAGCATTGTCTAACTTAACAATAGTACAGAATAGATGTGTATCATGTTTTACATGAAGTTATTTTGAATGACTAAATCAATACATTTTGTATAAAGAAGTTATTCGCTTCCTAAAGGTTTGAAAATGCATGGAGAAAAAATCAATCTAATATTAAACAAGTCGCTTTTATATATATAAGAAATATTTTTATAAGAATTGTTTTACACATGGAACAACGAATGAAATGTTTATAGAGCAATGTTTATTTTTGCTGAATACATAGAGGATATTCAAGTTTTTTCTTGTAACATCATGTACATTTTATGTAATTGCTGTTATTGTTTGTTCAGCTCTTTAAATATTGGAGGACATTAAAGTCTCTCTCTCTCTCTCTCTCTCTCTCTCTCTCTCTCTCTCTCTCTCTCTCTCTCTCTCTCTCTCTCTCTGTATGTATGTATGTATCCATCCACCCATCCATCTATCCATCCATCCATCCAGCTATCTCCTTTATCACAAATATGTTAGAATAAAAAATAAATAGAATTACTAAGATTTTTTTATCATATAAGCTGAAAAAATGGTCTTAATTCTATACTGTGTTCGTGTAATCATTTAATTTAACTGAATGACTCTTTCTGTAAGTAATTTTGCATTGAAGATGTCTCGTATAATAATATCTTCCGGGTTTTTCTTATATATTTATCAAAATATGAATCACCTCTATTCAAATATTTTACTTGGAAATGTTAACATGATGTTAATTGTTATAAATCTAACATATTACAACGTAAATTGTGAACATGACACAATAGTTATATCAAGGAAGAGGAAGAATATATACGAACAAATTCAGTGTAATCATTCCCCGCCCAAAACTTCCCATGATGCAATCTACGTCATCAACAGGTACATGGTACATTGACACAGAGGTGACATGTGTGTGTTTTTTATTTACCTCGTGCACACCAGATACTATGACGTAAGCACAAGTTAATAAGTCGTGGGCTCCAGATTATTAAGTGGTGCGCACGAGATACTATGTCGTGTGCAAGACTTAGTAACTCGTGCGCACAAGATACTTTGACCTAGTAAATCGTGCGCATGAGATTATTAAGTGGTGAGCAAGAAAAACGTTGTCTTGCACACTAGTTACTAAGTCGTGAGCACGATATAATAAAGTCAAGGGCACGAGTTACTATGTGGTGCGAACGAGATGATTAAGTCGTGCACTCGAGATAGTTAACCAATCAAATTACACTATATAGATCTCTATATAAATTTTAACTAAGAAAAATCCTGGTTAAAGTTTCACATGCAACATTAAACTTTGAAACTACTGAAGGTATTCACTTGAAACTTGTTGCATGTCTTTAGGATCATATTAGGAGGTCTCTATCCAAGACACATAAATCAAACATTTTGACTAGTTTATAGTGCTTTTTATGCCTCTAATTGAAAGACGGGGACCATCCTGTGATAGGGTTGATAGTATGCACGAACTAACAGTCTGTTAACCTTGTCCATACGATAACCTGAGAAGCAATAATTCCTGGTATATTTCATTTGATGGGGGCATTACTGATAGAAAGTAGATGGTCTCTATTAATGTTTGCGGTCATAAGGTCAAAGGTCAAAGTAACCATGACCTTCACGTAAAATACGTGTCTGATAAATAACTTGAGAAGGAATAACCCATGTTTTTTCATTACCTAGTATTGATATTGCACCTGATCAGTAGATGACACCTTACGAATTTGAGGATATCAGTGTCACAAGTTCGCTAAATGTAAAATCGTAGGGCGGAATCTTACGCAAAAAGTCAATACCATATTGGGAAAGAATATCTCGCTGTGTAAAATACCACGTAGTAAAGCCTTTAAAATATCATGTGTTTATAGCTATCAGCTCTACCTAGAGAAAGCTTGCCTAACTAATTTTTTTAGGATACACGGAAATAAAAGATATGATAGAATATTCAATTTCTATCCTGCCAATCATCTGTTGAGCCTGTTGCTTTTAATACAGATTTTTCCAATAATGACATTTAACCTTGGCAAAAATTAAAAAAAAAATCAAATCATATGAAGCAAGCGAAAATTTTGAGAATAGATTAATGCACTAGAGAGTAACGTCATAAATTTTTGACAAGCCATTTTGAAGCTAGACGGTTAGAACATTGAACTCTAATGTGAAATGATCAGAAACGTGCATTCACAGTCAGCATTTTATCAATACAAGCAAATATCTCTACTAATACTTGACTTATATACGAAGTTATTATTGTTTGTATTTTTTCATACACTCAAAAAAATGATTTACTTTGTACAAACAATTATCATGGAATTACTATAAACGTCTCTCTCTATATATATATTACATATGGGCAATGATCTTTTTACCCTTTGCAATTTTTACTAGTGCGAGGAAGTCGTAAACTTGATTATAACATAGTAACGAGGCGCCTCTATTTCTAAGTTAATACAATGTAAGTTATATTTGTATATTTAAGTGGTTGGAGTAGATGTGGATACACGAGATCATATAGCTGTACATATAGCGCTTGCTGTTCGGGCTGGAAAGATGGAGCAGGAGGGCGATGCAATACACGTATATTAGTTATCTTTAAATGTTTTAAATGAACCTTTATTACAACAATATAAATTACAATTATTTCAATAACAAATGCTCGATATATTGTTAAATATTATCAAAAATTGACTAATCACAAATTGAGTAATGTGATATAATTTAACAGTTTAGACTTGTATACACACGAGGCAATTTCGGAAGTATTATTTATCACATACCCGTGCCGCTTTTGCGACTCTGTAAAATAGTATTGCACGGCCATGCATATATTTTGACGTGGCGTCATTAGCCTTTTACAAACAGGTTGTAAAAGCGCGCTTAATGTTAGCGTTATACTATAGGCGCATCAATGAAAACTGACGTTTTTTTACTTTAAACGGTCTATATATTTGGAATATGATAAATAGAATATTGAATTCATTACTAAATTTATTGAACTCGTTGAATAAAATAATATCATACTCGCCAATGGCTCGCATACAATAATTTTATTCAACTCGTTCAATAAATTCAGTGTTGAACTTACATTCATTCAATATCCTCTATTTAATGCACAACGTCGTCTATCGGCCGGTCCTTCCCGCTGTCACTCTGTTAACAAGTTCGTTTTCGCTTTAAATCTGTTGAGTATGGTTTGGGACGATTTTGTGTGTCGTGTTGTTGTAGCTAGCGCGACAAGCATTGTCGCTCGGCTCCAATCGAACGATTGGCTTATAAGCCAAGCGACAGGGTGACATCGCGACAATGCGCGGCACGAAAACGCGCCGTTTGGCGTGCTTCACTAGAGACAGAACGACAAGACGACAGTGCGATAACGCGCCGTTTGGCGCGTTTCGATGGCGACAAGACGAAAAGGCAATAACAATATGAGTTGTGTTGTCGCTATCGACATCGCAACGTGCAAAGTGTACAAAATCAGACACTGATAGCGACAACACAACCTATATCGTTATCGCTTTTTCGTCTTTTCGTCTTGTCGCTAGCGAAACGCGCCAAACGGGGCGTTGTCGCACTGTCGTCCTGTCACTTGAGAAGCACGCCAAACGGCGCGTTTTCGTGGAACGCGTTGTTGCGATGATAGGTGGCGCGATAGCTCAGTTGGTACGTCACTCCTGAGGTTCCGGGTTTGTTCCTGGGAAACACCCTTGGGATTTTTCAGAAACACTTTTAGTGTTTTCCACCTATCAAGAAGTTTACTGGTACGAAACCCAGGTAATCCTCGCATGTATCAGTGCTATACACTGGGCATGTAAAAGAACCAAGGAATCTATTCAATAAGAGCTAGGGACTGGTTCCCGGATTTCTTTGTATCTCATAGCTATCTCTGCAGTCTACTGAGATAAGGACCCAACTGGAAATAAGTGCTTGCACTTTCGTAGGTTATCCTTGACCACCCGGTCTAAAAAAATCAATGTCGCCTTGTCGTTCGACATATAAGCCAATCCTTCTATTTGAGCCGAGCGACAATGTGACATCGCGACAACACAGCGCGCGACAACGTGCCGTACAGCGTGAATGGTTAGCGACAGGATGACAACACGAAAGTCCGACAACGTGCCGTTTCGCTCGCGACAACACGGCGCACATAAACGCTCCAAATTAGCCAACATAGAACGCCATATTCCCAGTACCCCATTATCTATCTTCGATCTGAATCATCAATCTGAATATATTTGAATCTGAATACTCCTGTTCTTTTGTTTACGGTGTTAAACATAAATCAAATGAACAAAAATACCTGTGCTTTATTTGAAATAACGCACAAATTTTAAATAACGCACACATTTTCAAAAAGAAGTATGCAAGCACGTGTTAAGTAGACAGATTTCCGTAAAATTGCCATCTGTTTCATCAAGTTATATAGAATGCTATTGCAAGTTTAAAATACAATCCTAATACTTAATTGTTGTATCTATGACAGCAATATGTCACACACCATGTTTAAATGGAGGGACTTGTATTCAACCTGACACATGTTCGTGTCCAATATCGCACGATGGAAAGTACTGCCAGACTCGTAAGTAGTTTATTGTTATGCTAGATTTTTTATAACACAAATTATGGTTTTGAGCAACGTAAACATTTGTAAGGTGGTCATCCTTTTTTCCTTAATCTACGAGGAACGGTCCGAAAAAATCCGGACTTTTCATGCTTCTCTCTGTCCACGTGCAGCTATATACACACATTATATATTGGTGAAAACTACATTCATTCGCCAATAACGTGGTTAGTTTATTTTCAATGATAATCGTGTATACACAGTATTTTGCCCTCTGATATATGATAGATGTTTCGTCTATCATGGACTCTTTGTTAGAGGAACAACGCTCTGTAATAAAGTGTCTGGTTGCAGAAGGTGAAAAGCCCTGCCACATCTTTCAGAGGCTTTAAAAAAGATTTTCTGATAAATGTGTATCACGTTCAACCTTCTACAACTTGGTTTCTCACTTTCGTGAAGGCAGAACAAGTGTTTGTGACAGGCCTAGGACTGGGCGGCCACCTAAGGCGGTGACCCCAACAATGGTAGCAAATGTTAAAGATTTTGTCAACAAAATTAGTCGAGTAACTTTGGAGGAGGTAGCCAACAAGTTTAGCGGCACACAAGATTTTACACGAACACCTAGGCATGAGCAATGTAAGTGCCAGGTGGGTGCCTAGACAGCTGTCCGCAGATCAAAAGGCAACCAGAGTAACCAATGCAAAAGAACATTTAAGTCGTTTTAATCGTGAAGGAGATAAGTGTTTGAACCGCATTATCACTGGAGATGAGGTGTGGGCTCATTATTCCGAACCTGAGACAAAAAGCTCAGTCAAAGCAGTGGAAACGAGCTGGTTCCCCACCTAAAAAGTTAAAGCTGTCTCCTTCTGCGGCAAAATTGCCTTTTGGGATTCACGAGCAATGCTACTTACTCATTTCATGGCAAAAGGTCAAACTGTCACCGTCAAGTACTATTCTGAAGTAATTCTGAAAATTCTCAGAGAAAAGCTGAAGCAAATAAGTCCCAGGTTAGTACAGAAAAATGTCCTCCTCCTTCACGATAACGCCCCCTTTCATACCGCCGCAGCTACAGTGGAGGTTATCAACTCTTACAAATTGCAATTGTAGTCTCACCCTCCTTATAGCCCAGACCTCGCCCCCTGTGACTTTTATTTGTTTCCAGAACTGAAAAAATTGCTTGCTGGAAAGAAATATAAGACCAGGGCGGATTGATATCTGCTGTTACACTGTACCTAAAACATAGGTCTACGTCATGGTTCACAGCGGGAATACAAAAGCTCCCACGAAGATGGCAAAAGTGTGTAGACGTAGGTGGAGAATATTTTGAAAAAGAGTAGAAAATTATTTTTTTTTAAATAGTTTTCGAGAATGAGTCGAAAGTCCGGACATTTTCTGACTTCCCTTCGTATTTGATATCATTCTGTTATGAAATATTCTTTTATTATAAAATGTTTTCTAATAATGGGTGTCTGTCTTAGTTTTTAGTTTTTGTGTTTTTATTTTTAAGTTTTTTATTTGTAAATTGCAGATTGAAATAATGCACCGATAGATTGTATAATGTTTAATGATAGAGGTATGATCAAAAAGTTCTCTGCCCAACATACTTCTAGCCACTACACTGACATTTACACACGATACGTCAATGCCGATATCTTATTTAAGATTATTGACCGATCTACACGTGGTTTTACACAGATTAATTAACATAAAACACACTTTGATCAGTAGAGGAGAATGTCATTTAGACCTAATGGAGAAAGTTGAAACCAGAGCTGTCATTAAGTACCTCTGTAAAAAAGGGATGTTCCCAAGGAAATCCATGAAAACTTTATGGTTACACCTATAGCACTGTGAAAACATGGGCTGCTGAATTTTAGAGGAACAGGTAGAGCATGGAGATGATGAGCGGCCTGGGCGACCGAAAGAGGCTACAAACGATGAAACTGCCGAAGCTGTGCACGATCTTGTCATGTTCGACAGAAGGCGAGACACCCGCGAAGCATTGCTAGGGAAGTGGGTATAAGCTTTGGTTCAATTCAGGCAAATCTGACTGACATATGTCCGCAAGGGAAAATCATGATTGACTATCTAAAGCAAGGTCGTACCATAAACGGTACGTACAATGAAGACGAATTGAGACGTCTGCGTCAAGAAATCGCGCGTAAAAGGACGGGCAAACTGACTCAAGGCGTTCTGCTCCTGCACGACAATGCGCCAGCTCACACATCCCAAATTTCGATGGCTGCTGCAATTGACTGCGGCTTTGAATTTCTTCCCCATTTCCATATTCTCCCGATTTGGACCCCTCTGACTTCTACCTGTTTCCGAAACTGAAAACCAAGCTTCGCGGTAGACGTTTTGGAAGCAATGGCGGTGTTGTGGAGGCGGTCAATGAGTTCTTTGAGGACCAAAATAGAGAGTTCTGTTTTGAAAGGTTAAACAAGTTGGAGCACAGGTGGTTAGTTAGGTTCTCGGACTACCGGAAGTACATCGGGCCAAGAACTGTTTGATCAATCCTCGTAGTTATTGATAAAATGAATTGTATGAATGTCCAGTATGGGTGTTATGATATGATATGTGTTGATTACTATTTTATCATTTCATTTACATGTTATATATTTTCTTCGACTGATTAAGTGTGTTTTTTTTAATCTAAAAGGGCCCCCTTAAAAATTGTATTGTTTAATGGGGTTTCCCTTCTGTAAAGAAAGTTTTTTTAAATTTATTTTTTATGTTATGCTCACACTTGCCCGCCCTTTTTTTCCCCTGGGACGTGAAGCTATCCAGAAAAATTTGGGGCCTGTTTAAAAGGGTTTTCGGAGATCCCAAATAGTGGTTTGTCTTAAATTGAAATTTAAAGAAAAAACAAAAAAAGCATTTAAAAAAAACGCGTTAGGGTAAATTTTTTTTAAAACTTGTGAAATTTTAAGATAAACTTACATCTTTACTAAAAACGGGTGATTTGTTGGGAGAACCGAATTTTTTGGGGAAAAGGGATAGATATAATTATATTTTTTCAGGGTTTGATATTTAGAGTGATAAAATTACCCGGGTTATCAACAAACCGTAAATAACTTTGCCCATTAGACGAAAGGACAATGCAGAGTTATTTTACTTGAAGTAAGTATAACCATGTAGTAGATTATGTTTAGATGCTTATATGTGATTATCTAGATACAGAATGATAATGAATGATGTCGTGTCTCTGAAATGGTCTTCAATAGTATAATTACTTCTGGTTTATGCATGATAATTTAGGTACCTGTATCTAGTTAAACGAAACTGTTAAACTGTCATATTATCCAGAAAATAGTTCCATTGACAGAATTATAGGTTTCGCTTTTCTGATTGTTTTTGCGCTGCTAGTAATTAAAATTCAATTTATATATTTTTTAACATATTTTAATCTTTAAGTATCCCCTGTTCCTTTGACGAAGACAAGAACACCATATGGAGTAACCAGGCATTATTCAACTATGTAAACTTTACAATTGAGTCTCAGTACAACCCGATCGATTACATTCCACCACCCCCATCATATGTCAGTGAATACAAATTTGGAATTGTAAAAAGTCAAATGCATGTGATACACTCGAAGCTTCCAAGGGATGGTAATGAACAGAATTTCACACTTTAATGGTCAAAATGCAATACTTGTTTTGTTAGAATGAATGTTTACAATCAGGTTTTACAATAGCTTTGAAATATCCTATAATAAACAAGCGGAATGTAAATTACTCTAAGATCAGTAAATCACTTTATTTTACTCCAATATTATAGTTATAATCCAATCTCTCCAAAAGTTCATTTCTCGTTATAAAGGTGGAAGTAGTCGATATATAGCCCTTAACAAATATTACACATGTCCAAGTTTGTCAAGTACAGTGCCACAAAGTGGACTCTCGTCCTGTCAGATTCCAGAAGAGAACTATAAGATCAACATAGAACATGGCGACATGTAAGTTTATCTTCTGCACATAATTACATAAACGATTTATTTCTTGATGTTCAGCAAAACCCTTTTTTTTATAAGATAGATTTTAAACAGTTTTGTTTATATATTTTTATTTATACTGGCTTTTTTGGGAAAACTGACCAAAGGCTTTTAACCCAAAAAAAAGATGTTTTTCCCTTAAACAAAAATTTTGGTCCCCTTTTAGTTTGTTTTGGACTTTGAAACAGCACTTTTGTACAATTTTTTAATGATGCCTAGACATAAAATGTTGGTGGTTATTTACCATTATTAATATACAAAGCTGCGTATTATTCATTTCAGATTTACTGTTACCTATGCTTCAACAAGTGGTGGGTATAGAAAGTTGTTTGACATAGTAAATAATCGGTATTACAAAACTAATACCTACGTCGGAAAGGACAGTGAAAAGGCAGTAGAGTTAAGATTTGATTTCATAGCACCAGTACATTGCTCAGAACAGGCCGCTACAGCAAAATGTAATTCAAATGAACAGCCCATAGGATTAGAAGCCGATATAACTAAGGTAAATGTTATAAAGAACATTGCAACATATGTTCTTTTTTTAAATTAGTGTATAATATGTATGTTATTATTTACAGAAGAAAAAAATTTCCAGCCGAAAAGATATTTGTTTTAAAAAACTTGAGGGGGAATCTGTTACTTGTTCTTATTTAATGTATAAAATGTATGTTAATATGGACAGAAAAGAAAAATGCTCAGCCGAAAAGATGTTTTTTAAAAAAAACTTGATGGGAATCTGTTACTTTTTAGTTGTATTGCTTTAGTTTTTTCACTCATTTTTTGTATGAATAGAATCCTATAAAGGCACAGTGGAGCGGTTGGTCAGATGGATTATCTGGTATAGCATATTATTTACTTGAAATATTCGAACTTAAACCAAACATCCATGGAGATCTTACAGAGTTTGGAAACCCAAATTGGGGAACCCTTTTTTTGCTGGGACGTTTCAACCAATGGTCATTTTTCACATTTTTATTCCAAAAAATCGGGAAGGGTATTCTTTTTTCTATTTCCCGGGTTTGGAATTGGGCCAAATAATTCAAAATCGCTCGACTTTGGGTTTTTTAAACGAAATGAGCCCAAGTATAATTTTAAAAAAACCGGGTTTCTCGCTGACAAACGAATGACTCAAAAGTATTTCTGTGGGGCGACGGGGGTATGCAGTAAATAAGGGGGGGGCCCCCCAAAAAAAGGAAAAAGGGATATATGGGGCAAACACCCAGTCCGGGTGCCAAAACCACATTATCCTGGACGGGGAAAATAAACTTTGTAAAAAAACTCCATCAAAAAAAAAAACTACAAATAAAAATAACCCCATACCCCTACAAATTTTTTGAGCTTAAAGTTTGGGGGTTTTTAAAAGAAGTAAAAAGTAAGCAATTTAAATTATCAGTAAGAACGGGTCGAAAATAAAAAAAGTATATGAAAGGGTTTTTACCCCCTCAAAAAACATTTTTTGAAATTAAACTTAACATAAAAAAAGTAATATGTAAAATAAATTCTATGTCTTTTAAATAAGTAAAAAAAAGTAGACAATTGTTTTTCTATGCATGAAAATGATTGTTGGTCATAAACATGTGAAATAATTAAAATTTAACTTTTTTAACTTTTTTAATTAAAATTTTATTTGGAAAATTTAAATTTTTTTCATATAAACGTACTTTAAATATCTTTTTAATTAGATATTTCAACCCGGATGAAAAGGGAAAGGGATAGAAGGTTTAATCCCAACCCCGAAAAAAATGGAAACGTAAAAATTTGGAAAAAAAGGGTTTTAAAGGGGACGACAGACAGTTTTAAACAAATATTTTAGCAATTAGTTTTGTTGTTGTTTTTCTCTTCGTTTTATTCAGTCTGTTCAATACCTACACAATTACGAGACCCTTGACTTCGCCCGAAGTTAATGCAAAATATAATTATAATGATAAAAGAATGATAAAGATACAATCTGACTAAAGTTCAGATCTACTTTTTTCTTTTTGGGAATTTTGAAATTTTAACCGTATCGTATAACCCAAAAAAAGCTATTTTATAATGCAAAACAAAAAGCCCTTTCATCTAGGGATTTTAAATTTTGACGGGAAAAATAAAAAATATTTTCTGAAATAAACCAAAAAGTTGATTTTTTTTTTAGAAAAAAAGTGTTTAAAGTAATGTGAAGCGAATCAACAGGAAATAATAGACTCATTTTTTTATGGTCAAGATTATTTTGCCGGTTTTCCTGCCGGCTATATGCACAACGCCATGTTTGTTCTCGAAAATTACCTACTCAATATTAATTTTCCAGCAGTTAAAAATGGAACCGCATCGTTTTAAAAAATATGAAAGCTCATTTAAAAGGATACGAGAAGGTGACACCAACCTGCTGCTGATCGTCAGATTCTTTTGCGTAGCGTGATTTAGGAGCTGATTTTGATCAGCTTGGATAAAGATAGTTTTGCAATTCAACAAAAATTAATCTAAACTTAAAAGTGTCAATAAATATATACAGGTACCCTCAGGAGGTTGGGAGCCACAATTTCGTTGGTAGAACTTATGAAATAAAAGAAGATCTGGATGAAATGGAAGTCCATGTTCGCATTAATGGGTCGTTGCGACAGATGTCCTGAACAATACTCTAGCAGATTATACAGAAGTTCATATTGACAACACTGGTCCAAGAGTTGCTTCTGAACAAATACAGTTAAATGTCGATAGTGGAATGTTTACATATAATTCAAGGTAATCTTTCTTGCATTGGCAAGGTGACAATTACTAAAATATTAACCTATTTATAGGGCCTTCTTTGGCCAACTTTAACATGGCATTTCATATATTAAAATGTTCCAAAATGTTAGCTGTTGCCAAAACTGTTGGAAATTGTGGCCAACAAAAAAATCCGAGATAAATTCTAATATTGACAAATGCATTTTTGTTCATCAGTAACTTAATCATTACTTCATACACTAGCTAGCATCGTAAACAAAATTAGGAAATATTCAGTTTCAGGTAAAATCTTTCCAGTTTCTGCATCAATCAAAATTATATCCAAAATGTAAGGGATTAAGCAATTCAATGTGTGCTACTAAAGCATCTCTCCAAATCCACATCTGATACCATAATCGTAGTAAATTTAACCTAAAACTGTCATCTGTAGGCGGTAATGTTTTGGGGATTTATGTTGTTGTTTTTTCTTTCATATCAGACAGAATTATCTACTGTTTACAAACCTGTTTTACACCTCCCATGTAAGGCAAGTCGTTTGTCTAAAATGATGTCATTCCCACGCGCCTTTTATGAATGAATTACGTTCTTATGATGATGTCATTGTTCCGTTAAGAATCAAGTTGTAAATTTATACGCTACTATGAAAAAAAAAGAATAAAAATATTAGATTCGTAATATCTTTATGTAATATCATTAATTTGTAAAATGCAACATAAAGAATAAAACACCGGCTTTCGTCACAGACAGGAATATCTAGCTATCCGGAAACTCGACAGAGCCTTGTTACTGCCGTAAACAGTTACCCTCGAGCTAGATATTGCGGTCTGTCCCGGGAGTCGGAATAAGGTTCTCATATTCTATACCCATACCATACTTCATCCAACTAACTTCAGCCGAAAAAAATCATTGCATAGGCATTTAATTTTTTAAATTTTGTTTCGTATAATAACTGCTGCCTAATGTATGATTGATATTTCATTCTAGGAAAATGCAACGTAAAGAGGACTCACATTCCTCTCTTTCTATCTGTCTAAGAACTTTTTTAAGTTGTTAAGCCCAATGCTTTTACCAATGTAAATACCATGGGCAACAAATAATTCCAGATTTTAAATATTAGAACTCATACGTGTACATGTTATTCACCATCAATAGAGTTTTGTGTATATTTTTTTTTCAAGTGTCTGCACACACATTAGAAATTCCTCTATATTCCTTTCTGAAATATATCAAGAAAGTTATTTTCCCCTCTATGATATCGAGCCTCTACTGAGACATGAAATCCTTTTGAAATCCAGAAGTCGTGCATGCAAACTACTGCCTTTTTTAGTGTACCAATCTCTAAAGAGTTTTAGAATAACTCAAAATTTTCATTTACTGGTCCTTCCACACCTGTCTATTTTCACGTATGCTGACTTCATCGTTTTACACAAACACAGTAGTTTTGTTTCCAATCAAAATAAGTGTCTTTCAATTTCGATCGTGCAGATTCAGAAATATTTTCTAAAGGTTCCAAGGAACTTGTACCCTGCAACTGATATGCTTGTGATAACACGCTTAAATGTCATCTAAACGATTACACATTGATTGTAAATTTTGAAAATACCTAATTACGTGTTAGGTATGTAAATGACAAAAACTGATATGTTTTCATTATTATATTTAGAATTAAATTCGTAGCATCAGATGACGGAAGTGGAGTTCATAAGCTTGCATTTAAACTTTTCTCAGAGGATGGGCAGGAACTTTACAAAGAGGACAGTGTTATGGCAAATAGAAACAATGCAAGTATACGTTTTTAAATAAACTATCATATTCATATATTTGTTAGCATTATATATTTCTTTTATAATTGTAATTGTATAAACATGTACTTTGGAAGAAGAAATCAACGAATAGAATCCATGATATTTTCGTTTCGCAAATTTAAAAAGACTTAAATCTTATAATATTTGGGAAATTGGACAGCAAAAATTTAAGTTTTACCAAAATGGCTTGTTGGTATGTTAGTTTTGATATATAAATACTATTTTACTTCAGGCTACTGATGCTTGTGACGTTGATCCATCGTGTAACTGTGTTCTAAACACATGCTTTCTTCGAGAACAGACGATTTATATTGACAACTGCTGGTTTCTTTTACCACAAGAAGAACTGAACAAGTCAGCAACAGTTGTTGTCAACGTCTTTAATCAAGCACTATTGAGCAAGGAACTCGTTTTTAATGTAAATAAGGGACTTTATTCTCATTTTTTAAAAACTATTTGTTGAGATATTGTACCATTTGTTTTAGGTCTGGACTAAAACCTTGTATGTTAAATTCCAGATCTTTTAATTGTGCCCGGAATCCCTTCCTTCCATGTAAAGAAGCAAAATAAATTGCAATGCTTTTCAAAGAAACTGGGTTTAATATCATACAGGAAAATCGATTTTTTAGTGTAACCCCGAGTATATTTCATGTTATTTTTTGTTTTCCCTAATTTAAATCGTGTCTGAGGCATTTTTTTACCTCTGACAGTGGAGTCACTTTAAGAATATATAACAGAATTAAAGAAATACCAGCAACAGTAACTTAATCATAGCTGGCTTAATTTGAGTAGACAGTACATATTTATCACAATGAAACTTTCTCACATCACGTTTTTATTCACCTAAAATAAATATTAAATAGTCAACAGAACAATCTTATACCGACATGATTTGATGCAGCTTTTTGACTCGTCTTCTTCTAATGTTGTGTTTTTTGATGAACTTAACCGTAAGTTTCTGTATTTAAATGATTCTATTGTTTTATTATAGATTTCAAAATTGTCAGCCTTACGTGGACTTGAAGAATGTAAGTATATCAAGTACTTTTCTAGACATAAAAGGCGGCAAATTTATATATTAATAATATACGTTTGTCGTGATACTTCCATATTTATGCACCAAAGAAAGTTTTAACTTTTAAATAAAAAATTGTTTGACTAAAGTTCTAGCAAAATACACTCGAATTGAAAAATATTTATCATATTTTAACAGATTCTGGTCCGACAAATATACGTGTGGAGAAAAATCAAGCGACTGGTGTCCGATTGGTTTGGGATCTACCTGAAAAGGCATCTTGCTACGGTCGAGCCGATATAAAGGTGATACTTGTCTCACCAGATGGATCTTCACGCACCGTTGACGTCTACAATGAAGGAACCTTCGTTGAATTAGTTGGTCTTAGCCCCGAGAATACCTATAGTGTCTCTTTAAAACTTGGTTACAGGGGGAATGAACTTGCTGAGATACCGTTTTCTTTCAAAACAGGTAAATCACAATTCATGTATGTGTTAAATATCAGAATGTACTCGTAATAGATTTCTTACTGTTTAAAAAATACTCTCATTTTTGTACAAAATGACCCATTTATTTTATTACAAATATCGTTAAGGGTGAATATGCTGAAGTTTTATTAATTAACTCATTAGAAACAAATCAATTTACGGAACTTCCTATATGTTCTTGCGTACTACAGTACCTCAGGAATGAATGACAAAAATCCTGATAACTGAAAAATCTCAAGGTTCAGTATTATACATTGATGGATCACGTACGCTCAATTAATTTTCTATTGGCATTGCATATACTTTGCTTGTTTGCATTTTTAGTAACAGATCTATATTAAAAATATGGAGAAAGGGTGACCAAGTAGGCGTTATAGGTTTTGTCAAACTAAAATTTTAAATTTTAAAATATTTTCATCAATCGCCGATTTCAGCACCAAAAGAAAACTTCCTGGAGACGGGCGCATTAGTTGGAATAATTGTGGGCAAGTATTTACTAATATCATTTCCAAGAGTCAAAAAACTTTAAAGTTAAAATTTATTTTGATAATGCTTTGGTTTGCGTCTGTATTTCACGAGTTTCTATATAATACGTAAGAAAGATTAGAAATTTGTTTTCTTGGTTGAGTTTGATATTTATTTTTGTTTCTATTGCGGTTCTTTCTAAAAAAACACATATACGTTTTACAAGTTAGTAAACAATACGCATAAATTTACTTGATCTAAAATTGATCCAAGTACAATGTCTGTATCTTTCACACAGCCACTCTTATCATATTTAGAAGTATGTTTGCATAGTTCAATAACATGTTTTAATTCCTTTTTATATTAATATATTTTCAGGCATATTGACATTTTTCATTTAATATATTTTCCAGGTGTTGTGGTCTTTATTGCAATAATTGCCGTTATTTTTGTTGTCCTCTTGAGACGCGGTCACATGCAACCAATCCGACGAGGGCTTACTGCTGTGTCAGTAAAATATCGTAAATCAATATCCGGAATAAGGGAAGGACATCGACATGGTGCGCACAACAAGACATATGTAAGGGCTTTAATGACATTCACAAAAACACGGATTTATCTTTGGAACATATTCAAATATTGTAATTTTCCATACATATCGTAACTCCAACAGAAATAGAACACTTCCTTAAATAGATTTTAGTGCATATATTTTCAAATGTCAATGTAATTTGATATTCGCATTAATGATGTTACAATTTATTTATTTATTATGAATACATTTCTAATAAATTGATCAAAACGATCTCCCAGATATGTTATATTCACGATTTTTGTACGTGTGAACAGATATGCGTGTGTATGTTATATTGTTTATATGCCATTGTAATCGGAAATGACATCAAGGTCGATAATATGCTTCATTTATAAGTCAACTTTAGATAATAAAAACGTTTTTTATAACTTAAATTTCATATACAGTGTATTAATATTGTGTCTTTACATTTTCGATACTTGAAGATCGTTCAGCACGGCATAGTTGTAGAGAGTGCATGTTTTTGGTACTTTTAGTTCTTTCCAGTTTGGTGTTGTTGTGTTTTTCTTCTAGTCGGATGGTTCCAGTATTTATCACTTGGATACTGTTGGATAGTTGCCTGTTTTTTTTAATTTTGTCTTTTGACTGCTTATCTTTGAGATGCAGGCTTCATAACCTCTGATCATCTTTCAAAATTCCATTTTATTTAAAATTTCATCAGCTTAAGCCGGTGCTAGTGGGTGTGGATTGTAGCTGGCAATTACTACTAGCGTCCATGAACAGGCTCAATCAAACCGAGCTTGCAACATTTTCAATTTTGCATTGTTGGACTTTCTTTAGATATTTTGTTTGTCTATATTGTATGTTTTTGTATGTACCACATAACTAAGTTCAGTTATGCTTTCATCTTTGTGTCTCGCCTCTAAGGAACGTGTCGGTCTGTCTGTCCGTCCGTCTGTCCGTCCGTCCGTCTTTGCGTCCGTCATAAAACTTGTCCCGACTTTTCCTCAGAAGCTACTGGTGCAATTTCATCTAAACTTTACAGAAATTAATATTACCAAGTCTTGTTGTGCATATCGTCAGCATTTTCTGGTTCAATGATTTTTGCTGAGTTATTGCGCATATTCTAAAATTAATTTGTATAATTAATTTTCAATTGAAACAGGATGCTGATTCCTTGTACATGTACGGAGAAATGGATTTTACGGATATAGAGAACTGGGAGTTCAAAAGAGCCGACGTTATATTTGAATCGTTGATCACTTCAGGACATTTTGCCGATATATATTTAGCTACAAATCAGAAAACAGGATCAACTGTTGTGGCTAAAACTCTGAAAAGTAAAGTTTATGAAATATTTAGTAAATCTTTGTATGATGAAGAATATTCCTTAAATATAATTATATAATTATAATTATATTTTTATACTTTTAATAGCTAACTTGTCACAGAAGGTCAGAGACACGTCATATATTTCACTCAAAAGAGATAAACTTATAAATGGTATTTAATCAATAGTAAATTTGTCATCAATGTAATGTTTTATTTCTATATTGTAGAAGGATGTTCTCCACAAGATGCGTTACTGATGAAAGCTAAGATTAACTTTAGCCGTACACAAGTTGGACATCATTTGAATGTACTGAATTTTGAAGGCGCCGTAGTATCAGATTCTGAAAGTATGAATGTTTATCTAAGTATTTAATCAAAGCACAGAAGGCGCTGAATTTGTTTGGGTCTGGTGAAGGTTGTGAGATTATAAACCAATTTGTTTTTATTTGTTTGGGTCGTCAGACCAAACAGATAATGGTAGCGAAATTTCAGACCCTGATGCTGTTAATTGCAAATGCCGGAAGTAGTCCGCTTTTTTGAAGCGGTTACTTCCCTTTATATGTACACTAACGCCGAAAATTTCAGGGGAGATCACTGTGTAAAGATGGTCAAATGACAGGCGCATTAACTTTCAAGCAAAATAGTTCCCGAATGGTCGAAGACTTCTAATATTGTTTTATTCTTTATAGATATACATGCTTATAGTAAGCTCCGTGACTATTTATATCTGTGTTAAACAAAATGATAAGGGTTACAAACCCTAATTTAGAATAATATGGTTTTCTTCAGGCCGTTAACATATAACTTCACCGTGGCCATGGGGCTTGCGCGCTCGCTTAGGAAGCGAGCGGTCTGGAGTTTAAATCCCAGTAAAGGCAACTCATTTTTTTTCAAATTGTTTAAGTCAAATAAACATTGAATTGAATATCAGTGTTGCAATTAGTCTTATAACCAATTTACTACAATTAAAACGCTGGAAAGAATTGGTGGCACTATACATATAATCTCACAACCATCACCTTTCTGACGTTCTGAGACCCAAACAAATTCAGCGCCTTCTGTGCTTTGATTGTATAGTGCCACCAATGCTTTCCAGTGTTTTAACTGTAGTAAATTGGCTATAAGACTAATTGCAACACTGATAGTAAATTCAATGTTTATTTGACTTAAAAATAAAAAAAAATGAGTTGCCTCAACTGGGATTTGAACTCCAGACCTCTCGATCCAGAAGCGAGCGTGCAAACCCCTCGGCCACGGTGAAGTTATATATAAACTGTCTGAAGAAAACCAAATTATTCTAAATTAGGGTTTGTAACTCTTATTATTTCGACGCTAAACCTGTTGTTTAACACAGATGTAAATAATCATGGAGCTTACTGTAAGCATGTATATCTATAAAGAATGAAACAATATTAGAAATCTTCGACCATTCGGGAACTACTTTGCTTGAAAATTAATGCGCCTGTCATTTGACAATCCTTATGCATTGATCTCCCCTGAATTTTTCGGCGTTTGTGTGCATATAAAGGGAAGTAACCGCTTCTAAAAAGTGGACTACTTTATGCATTTGCAATTAACAGCATTAGGCTCTGAAATTTCGATACCATTACTTGTTTGGTCTGACGACCAAAACAAATGATAAAAACCAGCCGTAACATGGCAACTTGTATTATCATAGTTATAATAATGCATGTTTAATATAAGTTAATAATAATTGAATTATTGTTGCGATTCATGTAGATTATAACTATAATGTATGTATCGTTGGCTAGAGACTATGATAATCAGATCGGTAATGACAATGTGATTTGGCCATTCTCCAGCTTTTACTGGTGGAGTTAAACAAAAGATTCCAATCCTGCACGATTTTAAGAATAAAAGGGCGCCAGAGTATTACCAAAGCTAGATGGTATATTTTATAACTGATCAATTACATTTTCAGTTGGACAATTTCTGCTTTACGAGTTTTGTTCAAATGGTCAGCTGAGTGATTACCTAGCTACGATGATAAATCAAATTACTGTGGAAACCCACGAAAAACTCCTACGATTTAGCCTTGGAATAGTCAAAGGAATGGAGTACCTAGCTCAACGGAAGGTATGATTCTTATTTTTTTGTTTACGATTATTTCAGTCGTTTAAGAACTTTTGTTAAGTAAAGGTATGTTTAGTTCAGTGGTTTTGTTAACTATGATTCAGCTTAAGCACTTTTGAGCATCATTCAGATTCTATAAACCTACAGATTAAAGTGGTGTTTTTTTATGATATTCCAATATGTACTTCAAGTTTTTATTTTAATTTTCAGATTGTCCATCGTCGATTGGCGGCTCGCAACATCCTTCTTGACGAGGATTTAGAGGTTAAAATAGCCGGGTTTGGACCTCAGCCACAAATGGAAGATGCTGACGGAAACAGAGGCAAGAAGGTGTGATTATATTAATACCGTAGCAATTATAAAATTTATTGTATATGTCAAAAGCTTAGTCCCGTCTGAATGCTCCATCTCTCGTGATTTAAATAAAGGAATGTGCCTCATTCATTGTCAACAATTTGAAAAAGCCTATATGATCCACGCTTTTCAATATACTGTGCAATATCCTAAATAACTAATTGCAATGTTACAGATCTTTTATTCGTATATTATTCAGGAACGCATTCCTATTAAATGGATGGCACCTGAATGTTTGAAAAGTACTGCTGATGCTACTGAAAAGAGTGACGTGTGGTCTTTTGCTGTAGTACTGTGGGAAATCTTTTCTCTTGGTATATTATTTATTAATATGAAATATTCCGTCTGAAAACGTCATTAACACAGTACAATGAATAAATGTATTTTTTATCAATCATCATCTTTTACATCTTTTAAATAATAGTACACTTTCTTAAAAGATTGATTCATTAAACTACTTTATTTGGGATTTTAAATTTTTATTGACAAATTGTAGCAACATTTGTATCACACGACAAGAACTATTTACGATTCAGTTTCTCATACGATTAAGTTTCTCGATATTTCACGTGAATATACATGTATAATGACACACTTGTGTCTTAGGTTGATCATAAAACAACTTATGATAGATATGATTAAAACTTTAAGGTGAAAAACCATACGAGAAATTCAGTGGGAGGGATATCCCAGGAAAGTTGAAAGAGGGCTACAGGCTACCCAAACCAGAGCAATGCGAAGATAAGTGAGTATATTTGAAATTTGTAAAAGTATGATAACCACTGTTAAACAATTATATACATGTACATTTAATTCACAGTATATTATACGTATTGTCAAGGTTATTTGTCTTTAGAATTATGCTTAGTGTTTGTTAAGTGTTTCTTTAAAGAAAAGAACAGAAGATGCACACGTGTATTTAAGTCACTTCTTGATTATTACCAATATATTAAAACCATACATTGTTGTTTATCTATAGAAGTACTTTGTAGAATAAACAATATGTTCCTTATTAAAAAAACAATACCCGGGTAGTCCAAAATTATTTTCCAAAAATTTTGATAATTTAATTTTATTTTAGATGGTATAATATGATGAAACGGGCATGGTCGGTATCACCAAAAGATAGGCCGACATTCACTGACATGAAGCACGATATTGAAGGCGAATTTACCCAGGCGACCACGGCTGACTACTATTATTCAAATCAATAAGAGCTGTGATTATATCATCAAATCACGTCATTTCGTGTATTCAAATGAAGAAATGATAAACATTTAAACTATACATTTATTTTACTTAACCTATACATGCTGATTTTAGAAGCCAAAAATTCCATTCACAAAATCATATGAATCTCAATCACAATGTTACCATGGCGGATATAACATATTCTACGATACTGAAAAAATGTTTGATTTACAATTTACAAAATAAGGAAAAAACAAGCAATATATAGCAATGATTTTAGAAGTACTGTAATATATACTACTTTGACTTTAATGAATAGTTTGACATTTATATTATTATATTTGTATCAATCAACCTGTATCTTTTCTTATGCAGCTATATGGATTGCTTAATGCTTTAAATATAAATTTGATTTAATGTACTTATCCAAGAGTGTGATTCTTAGTTTAATCTTAGTGTAATTAATAACTAATCAAGTGTGCCGAATGTTTAATTGATAAGCTGTGTGTTGAATGTCGTTTAAAAACGTTAATCCGTTAAACACACTTTGTGTTTATGATTCCCTCAGTGTCTATAAAATAATATTAATATCAAACAATATGTTACAAATCTGTGAGTGCGATCAATTTCAGTACTCTTTTAATGATATTGTTTCTGCCCGCCAATAATGAGAAACATCAGCGGTGGCTTTATCTGATTTCAAACAGTAAAATATCATTGGCTGTTCGTATTAATATTTTTATGTAAAATAATTGGTTATTCTGTGCGTGCGTGTGTGCGCACTTGTGTGAAATTTAAGTTAAATTGTATGTGTAATTTGATTTTATTTTTTTTGAGTACTTTTTAAGAAAATGTTTGAATGATTCTGTTATATAAATATTTCATACATTCAGATTCAACGCGAAATAATTCAAAAATAAATGGTGTGTGCCTGGTTTATTCCAGTTTGTTTTATATGAAAAGTATCTGAAGTATTCCATTATTTGTCAAAGTTCTTTTAAGCGATTATAATATCGCTATCCATCTGAGAATTAACTTTGGTCATCTTTGTGTTTTTAAAAAGAAGGCGTGCCGTAATGCATTAGAACGGATGATGCATCTCTTTAATAAAATTAAACGTTTAAGAAATCAAACGTATGACTGTAAATAAAACATTCTAACACGACCCGCCTTTTTCCCTATTGAACAAAGGACCGAAAGTTTGTATTATTTTGCAATAAAATCACAATTTTACGTTCTATATTTAGACATGTGACATAACCATTATACATGTGATGTAACCACCAAAAATGTGACTTGCTGTAAATAAGAATGGATACAAATCAGGTGCAATTTAGCTTCATATCAGTTATGGTGATGTCGTGCTAGAATCGCCTATAAAATCCCTTTTTATTCGTTTAGATGCGCATCATTATGTATAACAAGGGCATAGCTCCCAACAGATAAAATCACTGTTTGGGATATATTATTTCTTAAAGGCCCATTATGCCTTAGGAATGCAATAATTTTTATTTCTCAAAAACTTTCTATCTTTGGTATTTTGTCATAGTTTCCAAAACAGAACTCATTTGCCATTACATGAACAATATTTTGTTTATTTTGCTCTGTTTGCAAATGGTATATTTAGTAAATTATTATTTTGTAAGGAAGTCAAAATATTACTTTTTTTTTCATTTTGCTACCTTTATGACACATTACTGCATGTCCAGCGCTACTTTTTCATTTGTTTAATATCTAACATGCTCTTAATCCTTTATTAAAACATTATCAAACACATGTTTGGCATTTCTAAAGAATTAAAAAAAAATATGGATTTCCAAGGTATAATGTGTCTTTAAGTATTTTTTGCAGATCAGACTGGATTATCTACCGTTTTCATCGGTGCTAGAAAACCCTGTCTTACACCCCCATGTAAGACACGTCGCGTGCTTTAAATGACATCATTGCCGCACGCCTTTAATTATATGCCCGAAAGAATTTCAGGCATATTATGTTATACCCCCTGGCGTCCTTCTGTCTGTCCGTCCGTTAGCAATTTGGTTTCCGGAGCATAATTTAAGTTCCAGTTGGTCAACAACATTCAAACTTCATAGGATGATTGTCCATACTGGGTAGAAGACCCCTATTGACATTAGGGTCACAAGGTCAAAGGTCAAGGTTACTATTACCTTAAAACTGAAAAACTGTTTTCTGAGCATAACTTAAGTTACATTTTGCCCACAATATTCAAACTTCATAGGATGATTGTCCATGTTGGGTAAAAGACCTCTTTTTGTTTTGGGGTCACAAGGTCAAAGGTCAATGTCACTATATCCTTAAAACTGAAAACAGTTTCCGGAGCATAACTTAAGTTCCATTTGGCCACAATATCCAAACTTCATAGAATGATTGTCCATGTTGGGTAGAAGACCCCAATTTATTTTAGGGTTGTAAGGTAAAAGGTCAGGTTCACAATGATCTTTACACTAAAAATTGTGATTTCTGGAGAATAACTTAAGTTCCATTTGGCCCACAGTGTTCAAATTTCATAGGATGATTGTCAATTGAGTAGAAGACTCCTATTAATTTTTGGGCCACAAGGTCAAGGTCTTTTTTCGTCAATCCGTCGTAGCATTTTTACTTACAAGATAACAACTTGATGGTGGTGCTTTTGAAACAGCAACTGTATATATATGAAGGTTCTTCAGCTATAAAAGAGGACGATTTTTGAAGGAGCTAATACTTTATTTAATTCCCATGTCTTACAAATGCTTCATCCTTAACAAAAATACCAACTAACACTTTCGGGCATATAATGCTCCGCCTAGCGATGCTCTTGTGAAGTAATTGCGGTCTTAGGATGACCTCACTTAAAATTGTAACTTCATAGCTACTATAAAAATGTGCGTAATGAGAATATCAGTTTTCGTAGTTTCTGTTCTGAAAATAAGTGATATGTAATATGCAAGAAAAAGAATCAAATACTGGCTGTCAGCGCAGACGGAAATATCTAGCTCTCGGGTAACGGTCTAGCGGAAATTCGGCAGTCTCGTTACCCCCGTAAAAAGTCACCCTCGAGGTAGATATTCCGGTCTGTACCGGCAGCCGGTGTAAGATTCATATAGTCTATAACATGTGTGATTTTACGTTAACATTTATTTTATTCATTGTTTTGTGTTGAAGTCTTATTTTTGCATTGATTCTTTTTCTGCTTTATTTTTGCAATGAATGCTAATCATGTTCCTCATTCATGATTTACATCAAAATTTGACTTTTTGAGTGGATGTTTGATAAAAAGAAACTACTATTTGAAATTTGCGTTCATGTACAGAAAGAAAGAAAAGGGATCAAATACTCAAATTCCAAATTCCAACTATCTTTTTTCATATTTTTCACATTTTAGCTCTGTTCAAAGATCGCGTTTCACGACCGCCTTTAAATTTTTGTTTTCAATTTGTTTATTTTTTGTAATTATAATATTTAAAAAAAAAATAACAATGTTATTTCTTAGGGAATATAGTGTTTTTCTTCTCTCTTAAAGCAGCGAGAATAGTTCATTGTTTACGCTGTAATTGATCAAAGTAAATGTCGGTTAACATACAAACGACGTTTGGTTATATGTAGTCGCTTATATTTAGATAAGTATGTATGTAGATGGATCTAGGAATAAACGAGCTTTCTTATAGTCCAGATTGTTGTTTTCTGTTACACCAACTTCACGTTGGTTACTATACACCTACTCCACGTTGGTTACTATCAACAAAAGCCCATGATAGACATACACACACTAACAAACACTGAAATAAATGCATGGTAATCAACTTCCTTAAAATGAAATTATCCTTCGACGAAAGTTATTTGAAATCATCTTATGTAATAAATTTGACACTTTTCACACGATTGTGACGGGTTTCAAATTAAAAAAATGATGAGTCATAAATGTAATTGAACAAATATACCATATATAATGGATACAAATAAATGAACTTGAACCATATTTTAAGAAGACGGTCAAGAGCTGGTTAGGTTTGAAATCCCGCAATGTGGTTTTTTAAGCAGCACGCCCCCAGATTCATGTTAATTTTCATGTTTTTTAATTGATCAAATATACAACAATTGTATGTACAGTATATAAACATACAACTTTTTAACAAATATAGTTCATACAGCTATATAAGTATTCAAAGTAGAAAATAGAACATATCCATAAAAGAAGATTTAACATTTATATATACTACACTCATTCATCTGCACTCTGTCACTCTAGTCTGCGTTTTTATTATTGTTATCGGCCATATCTAATCATTTTTTCAGTCATTTACTTATCTCTAAAGTCATTTTAAGCGGGGTAAAAATATAAAAGTTTGACATGTAGATTTTGGATAGGTAAATACAGAGTAAGTCTGCATATATGTAGAGAACTGAGGGAACTCTTTTGCATTTTACATTGATAAATATACATCTTAAAGTAAATAAAAATTAGATTTTTAGTTTTTGATAAAGGACTTTCAGATGTAAAGCCAAAAATCATTTCATCTGCAGTTAATGATGGAAAATATTATTTTTTGTTTTGAAATAGGTATCAATGATGTCCTTTACAAAACTACATTGCCAAAACAAATGTTCGATAGTTTCGTTTTCATTTTTACAAAAGATACAAAGAGGATTATCATTATATTTAATTTTATGTAAATAATAATTGGTGCCAATTATTCTATGAAGAATCCTAATTTGAAACCACTGTATCCTAGTATCTTTTGTTATTTTAAATGGCATTTCGTAAATTTCTTTCCATTTGCTTTCTTCAAAATGTAAAACATGAAATTTTTGGAAATATTGTGAGGTGAACACAAAAAAGTAATTTACATATTGCAATCGGCACTTACAATCCAAGAAATGTATACCAAAAACTCGTCTAGATATGCATAAACAGCCCTTACTGGGTTAATAACGCAGCAGAAATATGGTAATAAAAATACTGCAAATCAGTCTTAAACCGCACATAACATGAATAATATAAGTTGAATCCTGAATGTTTTTACTTTTCTTAAAATTGAAGTACATTTTTCTCAATATCGTTTTTCTTGAAATATTTTGGCTCATCTGGAGGCGTGCAGCTTTAAATCAAACTTGATTCCTCGGATGTTCAATATAGTGAAGTATATTCCATATACTCACCCGACAATTATATGAGGTATTGACTAATTCTGAGGTTGGTTTATACAGAATTTATTTAACTTCGATTGTGTAGGAAGCTATAAGCTTATAGACACACTTTCGAATCCGTTCCTGGAACCAACCAGTACTGAGCAATGAGTGTAAAGTTTCTTGCTCAAGGAAACAACGACCTGTCCCTGACGGGGTTTGAACCCATGCGGCTAGCTATCATGAGATTACTAGTCCAACGCGTTAACCACTCGGTCATGCCACCACTCACTAATAATAATTCTGAGGTTGAATCACCAGTCATGTAGCTCTATTGTTACTTGATATAAATGAATTTAACTTTTTGTGATGGGATTTGAATCTACATAATGAGTGTTATACTTCATTATTATATGATCTAAATATAGCTGCAATCTCATTGGTCCAAACAGTAGTCAACAGAACTTTTTATAAAATCATATTCACTGGGTGTAGTATCATATTGGAGTTTCCCAGTCTAAAAATAGATTGAGACTCATATTCAATGACCATACACCGTAGACTATTAATTACGCGTGTCTGTTAAAACACAATTGTTGTGTTTTGTTTTTATGGCATTTTTCTCGATTAAAATATCATTACTTTACTATTATACTTAAAGGCTACAACGCAATGATGAGTATAAACTTGAATTACTTTTGAATGCGCAGCGTTCGAGTAGTCGTTGCACGCCTAACACGTGCGTCTTTTTTCCCGCGCTTCAACGAGACAAAATTTGTACATGTATGTAAGGTTGTACTTTTTGTGATTTTTAAAAGAAAGTCTTAGCCTATTCATATAATAAAACAATTATTGACTAGTGAGCCATTGAATATGATGTGATATTCACCGGCAGAAAGTCATATTGACGGAGGCGATATATGTCATCTGCCGGTGAATATCACATCATATTCAATGGCTCACTAGTCAATAATTGTATAGTAGTATATTATATATGAGCATTGTTCAAATATACGTCTACATTTCTACACAATACGTGCAGCGTTGGGCAAAGGTCTATCCACATTTTCATGTACTAAGTGACATGTGATTCAATTATTGAAAAATATACTGAACTATAAAGAGTACATTTAGAAAATATACAAATCATACATACATAAACAATGTATATTTTGTGCTGTCAATAATTGTAAATAATACTTTTAAAAGTTAAACTTGCCAACTTATATTTGTATCATTCATTGAAATTATCTATAATTATGTGCAGCTATGTTTGTTGCATCTAATATAACACCGACAATGTAAGTTCATATGGCGAGCCTGCTGCTTTATTGGTGGAAGCCTATTCGTGCATTATTTCATACACGAGCTGACACCTTAATAGAACCACTGACCATCCGTAAATAGCTATGATAGCTTTTTCACATTGAGGAATAAAAAAAAAATGAAAAGTTGGACCCGAAGTGGTAAGGGGAAAGTAATTTAAAGTGAAAAACTACTGACCAAATTAAAAAAACAAAACAAAAAAACAAAACAATTTTTATATTTGTTTACATAACTTTAATGTTACATAAAGGTAGAAAACTGAAATAAATTAAATGCGATAGATCGGAACAAGCTATCATCATACAGTCGAAATTAAAGATTAAATTTCAATAGTTTACACTTGAATACTTAAATATTATTTTAATTATTTGCTGATGTCACTACTTCATTTTTATAATTTGGGGGAAATACCCTCGTGTATTAATTTCCGTAATACAATACTTGAAATTAAGTTTTAAATCGATATTTTACTTCCTAGATAGTTTGTATAAGCCTCTATTATATCGATACGAACAGGACGAAAAACACTATTATATATGTTGTGTAAAACGCAGTTTAAAAACGATTATTTATTAAGTATGAGTTTGTACATGTACTAAGTACATGCTTATAAAGCTTATATAATATTTAATAAGATTGTGGAAATTTTAAATAGTTCATGGTTCACTATATGGAATGGTGAACTACTAGTTTAAGTTGAATTTGGCATACTTTCTCTTATCAGACGATTTACACTTTTGTATTAGTTCAATAACAACATTGTCCTCTACCAGAGTTCTTTTGTGGAAGATGGGCTCTTTTCTACCGTTATGTTTATCAGTGGTGCTGGCAATTGCCGAAACAAATGGTAAGTCATCTCTAGTTATATATGTATGCATAAAATATTTCTATAATTTGATATTTTTACAGTAATTCAAAAACACTATATAAATACATTTTGTTATATTTACATATATTTCCATAAATTCTGCTTCGAATAAAGTATTTTTATTTCGTTTCATTTCAACAGGTCTGTTCTTTGAAAGTAAAGTTTGTTACGATGGCGTCGGGTGTTTTCATGCAAACCATCCATTTGATAACAGTTTCGGTGAACTTCCAGATTCTCCTGAAGATATGGAGGTTTATATTTTACTTAATGTTTCTATTCATACACGTCCAAATCTTATGTTTCTTTATTGTTTTTGGCTTAATAATTGACAAACTCCTCACAGCGGTTGCGTCACGCTTTGCTACTCCACTGAAACCAACGTGACGATAGTTGTATCATGTGACAAAAACATGGCGGCAAGTTTCAGAACGCCAAGGACCCCATATCCAACTGGCAGATTTACAATTACATCCTTACCAGATAAAAAATGTCCAAAACACTCAATTTGTTTTAAAAAAAGTGCCGTATCAAAATCTTTTGCGCAATCCTTCAATAACTGTTTACTTCAGCCATTGTTTACTATACATAATTATGGTGCCATAGTGAAAATATATTTCGTTATGTTTACAAAATATTTAAATATTTTTATACGTATATTTTTTACATTCTTGTACATTAAGCATAACATTTTAATGAAAGAAAACTAAAATAATATAAAGTATTCTATTTTAAAATTAAAAGTGAAAAACATATATTCGGCTCTCTGATGATCGAATTTACTTGTGGTGGCAGTGGTTTCTGTACTGATCAGGGGAAGTAACCACTGCGGGGAGTTTGAATAATTGACATTAATACGCCGCCTGTCACTCAAGCTGACAGGGGTCTTACATATAAGCCAATCAGCGATCGTGATCAGTTTGTTCACTTCTCACTTCCCCTCGGAGAGTGCACGTCGCTGATAAGGCACAAAGCATCGGCAGAAGATTTGAAGACTGGGGACGGCGAAAAAAGATCGGAACTTGTGCTGCGGACCAGCTGCCGATGTCCTGACTAATGCCGAGGGGAGTGGCCCTACAAAGTAGGCGCTTCGGTCGACGAGGACGGTGTGCTAGAGTGCGTGAGCCCCTAGCATGATTAGACGTTTTGAACGGCAGGCCTTTTGCTGGCACCAACAGCCCTTTTCAGGGCTAACCTTTCCTATCGTCACAGGTTACTGTACATTTAGGTTCTCATTGACCGCCGTATAGTGACTTCCTTTAAGCTCAAAATTCATATCTTTGGCTAATACTCCGTGGAAATTGCATGAAGGTAAATTATCACTACTTTGTGCTTCAAAATTAACTCTTTAAAGGTATGACTGGTGACATGTTCGGGGTCCGTACTCGACAGCGAAAGGTGCATTTTGTGCCCTTACGGGCGGATAGACCCTCATTAAGCATTAACTACATACATACATGATCAGTTTGTATAAGACATATGTGCAGCAGTATTTATATTGAAATTATTTTTTTGTCAATTTAAAGCTATTAAATCGGTATATCTAACTTAACAAATATCCTGACATATTGACACATGGAGTCATTTAGTACATTTTACAAATAAAAATATCAGAAACTTTATATATATGAAGAGCAGGTGCGAAAGTTAAAACTGGCGATACCACAATGCATTAAAAAGAAAAAAGTTTAAACAAATACTCTATTCCTTCCTTTATTACAATTATGTCTATTCATAATCACATAATATATTATAAGGTCCCAGAATATCCAGACGATATGACATTTTTTGTTCGTTTATAACATAGTGTCAAAATTTTGAAGTTATTAATATTGCGTTTTATCACAAAACATATCTAATTTACAAATATACATAATTATAATCATATATCATACTACATAGTTACGCAAGGGCAACTTTCTCATTCAAATTTATGCTCAAATGCATTATGCATGTATATATGTGATTTCACAAATAAAACATTAAAAACATTTGTACATGTTACTGTTCCATTGATATAATTTTACTATTTATATATTCCGCTACTTCAATTTTATCTATCTTTGAATTTGTAAACTAAAATGATATTTTGTCAGTAACATCTTCCTTGAAGTCAATAAAAATATAACAAGATATTTGCCAAACGTTTTATTCATTATTAATAAATGAATGCAGTTATTTGTTTCATTTTTAAATACCATAATACATTGAACTATTAAATAAAGCATTAAAATTTTATATATACCAAATTATATAAGGTAAATTCATTAGTTACTTTAGTGGCATAATAGTTTCCCGTAAACGTCGGTACCGTCCTTTTGTCTAAGGTTCTGAATGTCCGGGTAACATGAATCAGTGGGCGGAGCAATCTCTTCTCTGGCGTTATGTTAATTGACAGGGGCTGGAATAAGTCAATATCATACAACTTTGTAATTAATTTGCATGTTCTTGAGTGCGCCTCTGTAAAAAGTAAGCCATTGGAAATCTTAAACCTGTAAACTTAGAAGCATTAAAAATAATATTTGATTTTCTAAATCATTAAATGTGTTACTCTGTAAGGCAGGTATACTGCAATCAGTGTGTCCGTCTAACCAACTCAAACAATATTTATATCGTTATAGATCTACGTGTTTATATTTTATTGAAGCAGTGACTAAGGATAGTAGCTTTCCTTTTTTGCAAGTTATTGCGCTCTGCAATTTTAATTCCTATATGCTGCCCGTATCATAATTTAAAAGAAAATATTGGAGGTATGAATTTTAAACTTACTGGACGGATTATTCCCTAAAAGCCATAGCGTGTTTTTTAACATACTCAGAGTTTTTGCCCTTCGACATTTTTCATCCTTAATCTTTGAACAGAACATAATTTTGATGCAATCACTGTTTGGGATATATTTTTTCTTAATTAACATGAAACTCATAGATGGATAGAGATAGAGCTTATTGAAGATAGGTGCAGTGTGCATGAACCATAACTGTTATATGCATAATTTTGGTATCATTGCCTTTAAAGTATTTCATGCTGAGTCTTTGTATCAAGATTGTAAGAGGTATTAATATGTAAGGTCATATAGAAGGTCTCAATGGAGATCTTCTGTGAACAGCTTGTGTAGTGTCTCCAGATTAACATGTCAAATTAATGTGAGATTAACATGTCAAATTAATGTACCATTAAACGTGATGTTCTATTTTATGTGTAGGTTCTATATTTCTGCAGGCTAAATATACATATATATTTCCCCTTACCCCTCTCCCATTTGGCTTGTTCTAAAAAACACAATATTCTTAATTTGTCATGTCTTTTTAATAAAATTAAATCAAAGCAGTAAATTCATTTCCCAGTTTAAGTAATACATAATCATTTCTATACATAAAAAGCAACGTAGTCTTTACTAACAAAGTGACTTGCAGCCTGGTTAAAATGATTCATTGTAATATATTATTAGTGTACTGTTTGAGTTGTTTTCACAATTGTAAACGACATAATTATAAACATTTGTAAAATTTAACAAAATGGTCTTATCATTAGGTACGAACATTCCTTTGGACTCGGCAGAACCCTGTAGAGGCACAAGAACTTAAATATCAAGATATTGCAAGTATTCAAGACTCAAACTTTGACGCGTCTCGCCAAACAAAGGTGTTAATTCATGGGTTTATGAGCAGCAAAGACACATCACCTGTCATTGCAAACTTGTCCGTGGCATTTCTTAAACAAGTAAGTATTTTTTTGAATGCATCTTATAAAATTGAGTTTTTTGTTCCTCATTACAGTAATAATAATAACTTTAAAGTGGTTTTCAACAGATGTGTATCGGTATTTTGATCATGAGAGATGAGAATGGACATTCGTAAAATAAAGCTGCATATGTAAATTTACAGGGTGATTACAATGTAATCGGGGTTGACTGGTCAAAGGGAGCTAAGAAATTGTACCCAAAAGCAGTGGCAAATACTAGGCTCGTAGGTGCTGTAGTTGCCCAGTTAATTAAAGTACTACTAGGAAAGTTTGAAATGGATGTCAAAACCCTGCACGTCATTGGTCATAGCCTTGGTGCGCATACTGCCGGATACGTAGGAACACGTATTCCAGGAATACCGAGAATAACAGGTATTTTGAATTGTCTAACGAATATATAATTGCAAGAATTATTTGAAATCGTTGTACTACATCTGGTTTTAAGAATCCCTTTTATGTAGTGTTGATGAAGGATTTTCCTTTTGTTTTATCGGGATGTTTCCGTAAATACTCAGACGCACGGACAACCGCAAGTTCTTCACTAGAGCGCATTTTCCAAGGTTTTCTTGTGACATTATGCAGTCGTATATGCTTTAGCTTACACACGTTATACATGCAGTTATTAAAATATTACACATGATTTAACATTAATGTCATACACAGAAATTTCTATCAATATCTTTGGAATTTATTATTAATTTTCCATTAATAAAACGAGTGGGACATTTTTTATAAGGAAGTTTTTATGTTGTTGTTTTTTTTAAACATTTTCCAACATCAATTAAATGATAAAACCTAATTCAATATAAATAAAAGCATAATATCACACACACATTATAAATATCATAAATTTGTTTACCCAATATAAACACGAAGATTTCAAGATCTTCAGTCATGTTTAAATAGTTGATTTGACGTAATTTTGGTAAATATTACCAAAATTTGCCGGAGAAAAGTTCTATTTTTTGTATTATCTGTAAAAAGTATGCACTGAATAAAAGACAAAGTGTTGTAAAAAATAACTATTTTGTTGATCGATAACACAATGTATGTGTTCAATTTTTTATCATTTATCTATGTGTACATTTAAAATGAATGCTACTCATTCACATATTTGCGAAATTATTTTTAAAGGCCTTGATCCGGCTGGACCCTTGTTTACAAAGACTGACCCTGCTGTACATCTTGACCCAAGCGACGCATTATTTGTAGATGCTATTCATTCAGATGGCGCTCCAATAGAGGATGCAGGTAGGTAGAATGGTCATTCATTATCCCTGTTTATTAAACTTTCAATATTTTCAGCATTATGTTTTTTTTTACAAACAATGTGAAAATAGATGCGACAACAATTTAAGTTATTTAAAAAGAACCTTACACATACACGTTTATTGCAGGCTTTGGAACTCTATCTCAGTTAGGACATATGGACTTCTATCCGAATGGTGGTCAAATTCAACCAGGATGTCCTCCGCCAGTCAAGACAACTGTCGAACAACTGCTTACTTTTCAATTCACAAGTTTGTAAATTTGCACCGATTTATTCTTTGCAAGGATACACTTTTAATGCAAATAAATTTGATTCCATTCACTGTCATAACATTTGATATTTAGAAACAATGTAAGACATATGTTCACGGTTATAGTTTAAGTCTGCTTTTTGGAACGGTTCGGTATAAAGACATACATACAAACAATTATTCGCCGCCGTGTTGTTTTTAAATGGCATACATAAAGTTTTATGTGAATTGGAAAAAATCAAATACATTGTAGATATATTTAATACATAAATTCAACTGATATTTTACTTAATCAAAAAGAAAATATTTTATCAGTAAAGCCGTACTGACACATAGAATCATATCTAATGTTTGAAGTAACATTTTGATTTATTCTGTTTTCAGAAGCCTTTGATAGTGTATCTTGTGCCCATGACCGAGCGATTTGGTACTTCATAGAATCTGTTCTGAACACAAACTGTCAGTTTACATCTTATCCTTGTTCTTCTTGGGAGAGTTTTAAAGCTGGTAATTGTACAACATGTGGTGATGCTGGGTGTCCTGTCATGGGCATTAACTCTTACACACGTCCAATAAAAGGAGCTTTTTACTTGCAGACTAACTCTCAAACACCTTTCTGTCGTAAGTTTTACTAACGATAATAATTAAATAAATGTGACTTTACTTGTTTGAACTATATATACTGCAATGAGAATAGTTCTGTATATTTATTTCTTGTTAATACAGCACTTTAAACACAACCCTTAAACATACATGTAAAACAAACTAATATGACCGACTTTAATACCATCTTATATCAAATCCTATCGTTTTTCTTTTCAGAGTCTAATTAAAATGTATGAAAGATGTAGAAAGATTAGAAGAGTGAACTTAATGATATATGTTTTTACATGTTGTCAAATAAAGAGTTTAAAATACATTTACTTTGTCATGTATATTTGATCTACTTCTTCTTACAATCAGCTTGACTTGAGGTAGCAGTTTACGGTAATGTAACAATTCAAATGTGTGTTTATCAGAAAACAAATAGAAACGTTGCTGTAATTTAATGAAGTCTTAAGAATTAACTAATTTAAAAACGTGTAAATCATGAGAATTTTGGCCATATTTTAAATAACAAAATAAACGTAATAAACGGGGACGATATATCTGCTAAAGAATTCGAAAAATATTCTTTTAAATATTCAATGAAATCAAAACAACAATTATTTCCGAGGTTGAAACATTTATTGATGACGTAAATACAAATATCCCTACTTTTGGTGAATTGAATGCCGAATTTAAATCGTAACAAATCTGCATCGCCAAGTGACACTTTATTCAAACTAGGGAATGTTACAGATTTATTTAATATTGTTTTTAACGCAGGTTATTTTCCAGAATTATTGACGTTATCATTAAAGAGGGATGATAGATTTTTTTAAATTCAAGGGTAGTAGTGTTATCAGACGCCCAGTTCGGTTTTTAAAAAAAGGCTCAGCACTGTGGATGCAATTTTTGTTTTACATGATTTAGTACAACATATATTATCTGAAGTGAGCTTTTGTTGATCTTAAAAAGCGTTTGTTTCTGTGTATAGAAACGCGCTATGGTATAAATTATTTACGATGGATTTGGATGGTAAAATTTTAAATATATTCAAAGCCATGTATTCAGCTGTAAAATCTTGTGTAAAACAGTGTAATACATTATCTGACTATAAAAAGTTAAACGCAGTTGGGGCTCTATCCTAGAGTCTATCTCTCAATCCAGAACACGTGGGTTCGAACTATAGATCCACATGTATACTGTGGTCACTGGGACTTGTTTGTGACAGAAAGTCGACAAATAGACTGCAGACAAGTATTTACTAAAAATGTTGTACAGTATGATACGAGGGGTCTAGTGCTTTTTGTTTTGTCAATTATACTAAGGTTAACGCATGCAACTTATTTACTTGCTACGTTGAAAAACGCCAATACATTCCGATGTGACTCTAATTTAAGCAAAAAGAACCAGTAGGAAAGTCATTAAAGTATTAAAGTTATTACCTGACAATGGCATAATAGAGAGGAAAACTATATAGAGATACATGCATAGAATCAATAATTGTATTGAATATCACTATACAATGTAGCTTTTGTATGTATATGCTTAACAATAATGTAATAATATAACTAACAATATTTAAAGACTTCGATATCTACGTAAGTACGCACATTTAGTACCGGTGGGGACACTTCAACTTCATGAATTCCTGATTTCTTCCTCATGAAATCCCGATATCAACTTCACAAATTCACGATTTCAACTTAATGAATTTATTATTTTAACTTCAAGAATTCGCGATATCAACTTCACGAATTCAAAATCGTGAATTCACAATTTTCACTTCATGAATTCACGATTTCAACTTCACGAATTCACGATTTCAACTTGATCATGAAGTTGAAATCGTGAATTCGTGAGTTGAAATCGTGAATTTGTGAAGTTGAAATCGGGAATTTATGAAGCTGACATCGTGAATTCGTATGTTGAAAACGTTGATTCACGAGGTTGACATTGTGAAGATGAAATCGGGAATTCATGAAGTTGGGATGGCCCTGCCGGTCTTTCGTAGTCTACATCGAATGTTCATTTCGCATGTCCTCGCAGAGTGTAGAAATGATTATGATCATTTATTTACTCAATTTAAATATTTTCTATCGTTACTTGAAATAATTTATACATGAAATACATGCAAATGGATATTAAATCATCATGATGATTATTTTTTAAGATATATTTATATAGGGTTTACCGAACGAATTTTTCGCAAAATGTTCCCAAAGATGATTACACCCCTTTTTTACTGAAAATTTCTGCTGATCACATGACTGACATATACTTTTTTAAAAAGCAAATATCCAAATGAGAAATTATCCTAGACACTTATGAAATAGTTCATTTTCTTACAAAAATAATGTAGTTTTAGTTTCTAAAAATTGTTTCATAAACATAACATTTTCATCCAATCACCTGATGTGCCATTGAATCTTACGGTTTTTCCTGTACCTTTTGCAGCAAATCGCAGGCCATGTTGCAATATAGTAATCTGACCTAAAATGAAGTGCGCATATGGCAAATGAAGGGAGATAACAAAAATAGCTTTACATGACAGATGTTTTTGCATTTACTTCCCTTTAGTTAAAGTTTGGTACTTTCATGTTTGAATTGAAAATATTTTATAATATATTTATAGAAAAGTTTTCAGGTGGTCTCCGCCTACTCAATCGTGGACCTAAAACTCAACCAGAGCACGACCTGGTGTGGGGCATAGAAGCTCTAATAAGGTCTTCCTAGGATGGCACGCGCCTAAGGCCGTGCCAGTTGCACCCAGACCCTCGAGTTCCATGTTGCGATCGAGAGTCAGTAGTACCCCCGACTTCACGATGAGTCCTATGCAAAGGTGGCGGAGGACACAGTTCCAACTATCTTAATTAGCAAATTGCGGTATCTGCAATTACATTTAAATATCGGGAAGTATCAGACAGATGTTGGGTAAAAATTGTTTGCGCGTGCATCTTTATATTAAACATAATAGCTAACGGGAGGGAAATGACAATAAAAACGCGAGATTTTCATGAAATATATATAAAGGTTTGTTTACGGTGTTTTTTGTTTTTGTTTTTGTTTCTTTTTTTCTGGAACTCTTTGTTTCTATGAATGATAAAGATGATGTGATGTTTTTTTCTCTTTATTTGCAGCTGTCAGTTTTCCGCAGTCATCCGCGCAGTCTGATCAGGATCCATGCTGTTCGCTTACAAACCCTATAACAAGTTGAGAGGCTGATAGCGAACAGCATGGATCCTTATAAGACCGCGCGGATGCGCAGGCTGGTCTGGATCCATGCTTGTCGCAAACGCACTATGTTGCTTTTGTCATGGCGCAGCTCAATTCTTCTTCTTCTGGTTAGTTACCAAGGTAAACTGGTTGGGTAGGTCGACTGACCTCCGAGATGTGGCCAATGTGCGAATAACAGCGTAAACAAAGATAACTAATCCGTCAAACAAGCTCTTAAAGCATGCAACATTTAGATAACTATATCCCCTGTACGATGTAGCGAAAACAAATATTATAGTATTTAAAAGAGGTAACGGGCGTGCGAGAGATAATGAAACATGGACGTACAACGGCAACGGAATAGATATCGTCGATTCATTCAACTATTTGGGCTACGTACTTAGCAGTAATGGTTCGGCAAAACGAGGCATTGATGCTCTTGCACCGAAGGCTATAAAATCTATGAACAATTTATCATCGATAACAAAAGTCAATAGAAATGCCAGTTAAGATAAAATTCAACCTATTCGACGCACATATTACATTTATTCTTTGAGATAGTGCTGAAATATAGAGGTTTTCCTCTGCAGAAGTCATAGAACGTGTACACTGAAAGTTAATTTAAGCGAGTCCTAGACAAGTAGCCAAGGCATATATATATACGGTGAAACGGGTAGGAACCCGCTATTTCCAAACAGAAAATTTTGAATTGTTAAATTTTGGTTGAAACTATTACACAATGAACAACGGAACTGTATAATCTGGAATGTATATGAATCTATGTTGCAATGTAACACCGCAAAACGTCCGTACCGCAAAACGTACGCGTGTGGACGTTTTGCGTCGCATATCGTACACATGTGGACGTTTTGCGGTGCATATCGTCCTTGGTACGTTTTGCGGCGGGAGTGTGTATTTGCGTCGCATATCGTCCATATTTTCTGTATTATATATATTTATATATTCATTATAAACGTTACTTTTATTGGTTCTGTCACTTTCATATTGTTTCAGGTAATGATATGACGAAATAAACATTTAAGTGCAATATTTTTGTGATCCTATGTAATTCTGATTTTTTTTATTTAAAAAAAAAGAAATATGCTTAAGCCGAGGATGTTTTTCGAATAGATTTTTTTTTAGGAATGGAACCAAGCAGCAGCAGCAGAGATATAAAAACGATGATATTGAAATAAATGTAATCTTATAGACATACAGAAAAGGACGGCTATACAGACGGACGGACCGGGGATTGGACTGAGTGAATGACAAAAATATTAGAATTAAGCTTTGCTTTTGACAATAGCTTTTCATATAATTGCATCAAGAAGTGGGGATGATTTTTTTGTGTTCTTGTTGACTATGGAGGTTTGGTTCTACCGTTCATTTTTACGGGGGATGGATGGGGACTTTTGACAGCGTAGTCATATTTGAGCGAGAGAGCTATATTGTCATGGAGATAGGGCCTTTAAGTCGCCTAGTCATAATTGAGCAAGAGAGCTTTCTTCGCGGGGAGCGGGGGTGGGGATTGGAATCCTCTTAGCTCATAAATGAACTTGATCGAGACCTTATTGTTATACATATTCTGTATAAAAATTTTAAGAATGGAGAAGAAACGAAAGCACGAACAAGGTGAAATATAGCGCGTTTTTTTTTTTTTTTTTTTTTCTTTTTTTTTTTTAAAGATTTAACCTATAATCTAACTTTGTTGAGATTTTATTGTCATAGATATTCTCTTGAAAAGTGTCAAGAAAGCGTTGGAGTGGTAACAATGTGAAATATAACAGATATTGTAATTCAAGGGCAAATAACTCTGGCCATATTGCTTAGGGTATGTGGATGTTAGAGTGATAACAAGCTAAATTTGGACGGACAGACAGGCGCATACTCAGGTAAAGTGGTCAAGAAACTACATGATGAATGTGGCTTTGGAGAAGAATGGCTATATCCGCGTTAATTAAATGTTGT